ATCCTTGAATTGCTGATCGTAAAAGATCAACAAAACTCGCCCACTGTTACAATATTCTTACCTCAGCTCTCTAATCTTGATTATCCATTTCAGGGATGAGTTTGTGCAAACCCATCTTCAGGGCTATAAACCGTTTGGTACTAAAAGACCAACAATGGCAAAAAAGGAGAATATTAATATTGATCTTCCTGAGTCTGTTGATTGGAGGGAGAAAGGAATTATTACAGAGGTTCGGGATCAGGTAAGACAAATAAGCTCAACAATGTTAGGTACATTCCCAAAGGGCTTTTCCCAAAGTGAAAACTTCCCAAATGTGCAATTTACAAAGCGGCAACTTCCCAAATGTACCATTTAAAGTTTTAATAATATGTTTTAATAAAAAAGAAACAACTGTTATTCTTCAACTGGGGCTCCAGGTCCTGGTACAGAAAAAAAAACAAAAAAAACTTAATGCATGCCATCTATTGAAGTTTTTTGTCTGATGTTCATTAAAAAAGTGTGATAATAAGTAACAAAAAGTAAAAAAAAAATTCCCTTAGGGTATGTGCGGTTCTTGCTGGGCCTTTGCTGCTGCTTCCCAGATTGCTTCTTACGCAAAGTTGAATGACATGTCCCATCCACTAGAAGAAATCTCGGTCCAACATTTAGTCAGGTTCAACTATCAATCCTAAATCAAGAAGTTCAAAAAAATGTTGAAAATTTGGTTCTTTGGATATAACAAATGTAATATTAGTACCTGCCCATCTAGAAACTATCTAGTAATAATATACCTAATTTATTTTGCATATTTTCTTGCGTTTATTGCAGTTAAAAGTTGCAGGATGGCATATTTTTGCATTCTTTATTCTTTTATTGCATAAGAACATAAAGTTTTTTTTCTCTAGTTTTAAAATCAGCTCTGTCATTTTTTTATCAAACTTTAAGAAACTGTAAGCTTATTCTCATGTGATCCGTCCATGGAAAGATGGCAATTCCCTATTTATAACACCAACAATAATAAACACTTATTCATGTCAGAATAATGACTTTAAGGTTTCAAGGGCTGGTATCCTTGTAAATCAGGCACTGCTATATTTGCATAGGGGGTCACTTAAAATTACTCTTTTCATTTCCTTTAATACAATTGTTCTTTAAATTGATTACTTTTAATGAGATTATATTCTGTTTATTAAAGTTGTTCCGGAAACCCCCTTCAGTGCGGAGGAACAGGTGGCTGTATGGGTTCCATTGCTCAGCTAGCCTTTACTTATACTTCTCTGTTTGGAGTTGTTAAAGAAGAAGATTACCCTTATACCAGGTTGGAATAGATCGCCCTTGGTTCATCTTTCTAAAAGCATCTGATCCTATCAGGGTTTAGTAATGGGCTTGGTGACAATTTTATAATAAAATTTTCCTCACGGCCGAAAATATGCTTTAAACTACATGTTTAAAATTTAGGGTTAAAATTATAAGCTTAGTTGATGTAAGGGCCGAGCAACGTATATTTTTTGTGAACCTGGGGGGAAAATGGGGTCATAAAGTCCTTAAAATGTATGATGCATGTAAGTGCTAAGATCCAGGTTTATCGTAAAAAAGGGGTGTACAATAGGTAGATTAAAAAAATTATCAATTTTCATAATCAATATTAAAAATATATATACATAAATTATAGAAAACAATTTCTTTCAACCTAAATCTCCCCTCCCTCATGGAAGAGGTAGGCCCAGGAATTAGGGGGCTGGTTTAGAGTAGGGGGGGGGGGGGTCTTTTAATTATTTCTAGATGATTTAAAACACATTCCTGATTTGAAATGCATTTCTGACTTAGAACGTGTTCTTGATAATAAGAACAAGTTCCTGATTTTAAACATTCTTTTAAGCTAATATCCAATCCAATTCATTCCGATCTTCTCCGTATCTCTTCCAATATTCTTAAGAATGCATCTTTGCGTTTCGTTCTTTTTTCGGAACAATGGGTTCGTTCTTGATAGCTCCTTTCGTTCTTGTGGAAGAATGATCGTTCATCAAGAACAACACTCAGCCTTTCATTGCCGCAATAATGGTTCAAACCTCAAATCACCATCTCAAAGTGAGAAATTTGATTCCTGAGTCAGGATGTGTACCAGCTGGGTAAATTTATAGTTTAGCGACCTATTTAATTCATTAAATTTGGCCCCTAGAAAGTTTCAATTTACATAATAAAAATTAAAAACAGAAACTATTTGATGTAATGAAATTTTCTGTTTAACATTATGAAACACTGAAAACATTCTAGGATACATAATTGAAACCCTGCAGGTTTTAATTAGAAAAATTGATTCAGGAAAAATGTTTTGCTTTTCTCTCCATCAAACATTTTTGATTTGTAAAGATATGTAACAGATTAAAAATGTAACCATTTACAAAGATATTTACAAAAATATAATATTTTTTTAAATATTGTTTTTGATTTACAGTGATGTACCTTGGGGTGATGATGGAGAGACCTGTAAGTATGATGCAACAACTACTCCTGCTACTGCTGTTGTTATGGGATTTGAAACTCTACCTCACAATGACTTAGATTCTGTTATGTACCATCTTGCAAACGTTGGTAATATTTTTATTAAAGGAATCATACGTATAATTTTTGTTACCATTCATGCAAAGATGACAATTTGTAATTTTATATTGTTTTTATTATCATCATCTATATATAAATTTGGCTTGTCTGTCTGTTTGTTTGTCTGTTTGTTTGTATCCAATAAACGTCAAAACGGCTGAACTGATCGGGCACTAATTTTTTTTTTGGACATCACGTGACCACAGGGAAGGTTTATGAATGATAAAAATTTAAAAAAATGTATTTTAAAGGTTTTTAATTTTGCAAAAAAAATTAAATTCTTGAAAATCCGTGATATTTTTTTTAAAAATCTGCAAAATTTGTTTCTTCTTTGTTTTACAATGTAAACAAAAAGAACAATTTAAATAGAAGATGGGCGCGAAGCGCCCTAAAAGCCTAGTTTCTGTTAATTTTCCTGCAGTAGAAATGGGTAAGTCACTTTTGTAGAGAAATTGGAATCGAAAATAATGAGTATCCAAAATTATAATTATTGATATCTAATTCATACTTGATCAGACAAAGGTTTTAAGGGTACCATTGTGAATCAGGCATTGTCCTCTTTGCATGAAGAGTCACATGAATTACGCTTGCAGTCCCTTTAAAAAGAAAATCAATACTTGACTAAAGTAAAATTTATTACAGGTCCATTGGCTACCACTGTGGCTGCCTCTGACGGGGGTCTATATTTTGAGGGGGTGTTTGATGGCTGTGATTACAATGAAAATATTGAAGTTAATCACCAAGGTACTTTAATCTTAAAACAATCCATAGATTTAAAAAAACCAGGATATGCTTGGGGGGGTCAATTTGACCGCCCCCCCTCTAAATTCCATGTTTGATGTCCAAATATGACAAATGTTACATCATTAGAAAGCTCTTGTGCTCTACTTTTAGAATCTGCAAAAAAAATTGCAAATTTGCAAAAATTAAATTTTTTATCGCAAAATCCAGTTATATAATAAAAATGTTTGCAAAAAAAAAAAAATTCCAAAAAATGAAAAATTATACATTTTTGAAAAGCCCTTGACCATGCCATTTTAAATATGCAAAAATTTTTGTAAAATTTTAAATATCCTGATTTTTAATCAAGAAAAACTAAAAATGTGCAAATTTCCTTTGACAGATTGTTTGCAATTTTTTTTCGCAAAACTTGTGAAATTCGTTTCCTTATGTCAAAGGCATTCCAAAAATCAAAAATTTCATCAAAATCTGACAAGTGGAAGTGGGTCAAAACAAAGATTTAGTTTGTTACAGGAAAAAGCAGTTATTCAGGCAGTGTGCCTGAAGACTCAGGCAGTTAGAAGTAAAGCCCGGTTTTATGCCTAAAGGGAGGGCTTTGGGTATGTAGGAAAAGTCAGAAAATTTCAACAGCCTCAGACCAATACTTTTTGAGTTATGTAAAAAAAACTACAGGGGGGGGGGCAAATTGACCCCCCCCCCCCAGCAGGAATAGGGTTAACAACATTTTGTTTTACAATTTGTTTTAGTTCAACTGGTTGGATACTGAACAGCTCCTTTTAGCAGTTTGTTTTAGTTCAACTGGTTGGGTACTGAACAGCTCCTTTTAACAATTTGTTTTTGTTTAACTGGTTGGACACAGAACAGTTTCTTTTAACATTTTTTTTAAGTTCAACTGGTTGGATACGGAACAGCTCCTTTTCTACAATTTGTTTTAGTTTAACTGGTTGGACACAGAACAGTTTCTTTTAACATTTTTTTTTAGTTCAATTGGTTGGATATGGAACAGCTACTTTTAACAATTTGTTTTTGTTCAACTGGTTGGATATGGAACAGCTACTTTTAACAATTTGTTTTAGTTCAACTGGTTGGATATGGAACAGCTCCAGAGGGTGATTACTGGCTGATAAAGAACTCCTGGGGAACAATGTTTGGTGAAGGTTGGGATACAGGAACTGGAGGATATATTAAAGTCAAGAGGTAATAATACTTTTTACCGCCTTTTGATCGATATAGCCGACCTAAGATTCCCCCATCAGAGGGAAGGTAAGATACTTTATGTCCTTTGGTACAATTAAGTAAAATAGTTCGCGCATTTCATCTTAAAACACAGTAAAATTCTGAATAAGTACTTTTTTCAGGAAATTAACTTCCCTATAAAGTAGTTGTAAATTATAAACAAAATCTGTAAATGGAATTTAAGGGAATATCCCATTACCAAGGGTTCAAAAGACCAATTTTGTGAGAGTTTTACTTAATTGTCCCTGTTGGATGAATCAAAGGTTGGTAATGAGCAGGGAGTAAGGAATAGAATGAACAACTGACGCGGTTTGCCCTATCATATGATTTGCAGACAGTACTCCATTTGTATGAGAAATAGTGTGAATAGGTTATTGTATACCAGGTAATTGTACATCAGACAAATATTTCTTATTCAAATGAAGTACCGTCTGCAAAGCATGTATAATCTTATGGTAAGGCAAACTGTGTCAGTTATTAACATTTGATATTTTAAACTCAATCCGCTATAACTAATGGTTTGAAATTTCAAAGGTCTATAACTATTGGGATAATGATCAAATTTGAGCAACCACCTCCTGCCAGTTCAAATTTGAACCACCAGTCCAAAATTAAATATTAAGGAAGGATTTAAATTGGTGATTCAAATTTAAAATGATGGTAGGCATTTCTAGTTATTAAAGTCGGTCCCAGGTTCCAAAGAAACAAACTTTGAAAATTTGATAAAGAATAATCAGTTCCATAATGCAACCTCATTACTAGGGAGTCAAGTGTTCTGTGTGGAACTAACAACACCCCTCTGAATGGAAATGCTTGTGTTGATGGCGGTGTCACTTCTCAGCATGTTTGTGGAATGTGTGCTGTTCTCTTCGACAACTCGTACCCACTCGGAACATCTTTTCTTTGATGCCTTTGTTTTAAAGAAATAAACATGATTATATTCACACTGTCTTTTTTTCTAAGAAACTGGCGTGATTGATCCAGACAAAAAATTCTCTACTTTTATTATTTTTATTTAAATACATTAAAGCCATTATTGCAGCTTATGCTATCAGAGACTGGGTTGTCATCATTTAGCCACCAGCCAAGTCTACCATCTTTGGCAGAGCAAGAAAGGGATCCATAGAAATTACTATCACAAAAAAGGATACATGTGTTCTGAGTGCCATCTTCACCGAGGATATAGTATTCTCTCCCACCCTCATCAAAAGTGGTTTTATTGACAGGAGTAGTGCATGCTAGATTAGTCCCAGGCTGAGCAGACACTTTCAGGTTTGGGCATTTGCAGTCTTTATCTGCTTCGTCTGGGTTGATTGGTAAGTTATTTATTGTCCAGGTCCCTTGCTCACAGGTCAGCATTTCTTTCCTGAGCATTTCTTCTTCTGCACATCTACGAAGTTAAACATTTCACCATGTTATCAATCAATTTTTTAACATTTAATTTTCTTTTGCCATCAGCTTGTCCCATAAAAAGCTGCAGCGTTTGATCGTTTTCTAAGTTTTTATCTTCTTCAAGTTGGATGAAACTTAATGTTAACTCTTAATTTGTGCAATTAAACTTAACTTGTTGACAAAACAACTTTGAAATATGCTATACACTGCAGATTTTTGTGGAGCCAGAAGACCAAAAACAACTTGACATGGTTGCCAGATTGTATTTTGACTGCAGTGTTAAAAAACCACAAAGTTTGTCTACGCTATCCTAATTGCTCTGTCTAACCATAAGTTATAATATATTCAAAATACTAACTGAAAAGAACGGAAGCAAATTGTTCCATGATCTGCTTGTTCAGAGTACACATCAACTATAGGTAGGCAAGTTGACCAATGTGATACTAAAGGACCCTCTTTTAAGCTCAGCAATTCACACTTTGGCTGTGGAACTGAATAAATATGATTAGTTTTTTTCCCAATAAAAAAATACTGGCCGGGTAAAGATAGCAGTTACCAGACATTTCCATAGATAAAGATAGATTGCGCATAAGACGACATTTTTCATCTTGAAAGATATAAATGTACAGAGATGTTTTAAAGATATTCCTATTATATACAGGGTGTCCCACGAAACATGACAATAGGAAGACGACTTAAAAGTCGTCTTTGGTATTTGAATTTATTTGTGACATTTAGTCTTCTATCTACTTTAACGTGCATGATTCTTGAAACAATTATCACATAATTCTCCTAGCCCTCGCATTTCCAAAAAGTGGTCTGCGTTTTTTGTGCTTTCAATATTACCGGAGATATAAAGAGTTTGGTTCAGATTTAAATTTTGTTAAATAAAAGCAAAATTGTCGAAATCTGAACAAAATTCTTCAAATCTCGGGCAATATTGAAAGCACAAAAAAGGCAGACCACATTTTGGAAATGGCAGGACAAGGGAAATTTTGTGATTATTATCTCTAGAAATTCACTTCTAAAATTAGATTGACAAATAAACGCAGCAAATTATATCACAAATCAAGACGACATTCAAGTCGTCCTGCATACTGTCATGTTTCGTGGGACACCCTGTAGATTAACTAGGTCGGTTGTGAACATTGGCTGTTCTTATGTCATTGAGTACTTGTGGTGTACATGAGTTCTGTAGAGAGAAATTTAAGTTAGTTTAGTCCTCCTTATGTCATTCTTCATTTCTCGTCAATATGAATTCACTTCTGAATATCCATTAAAACACCAAATCACCCCGCTTATCATTGAAGTACACTTTGACCCCTAGAAGTATGAGTTCGCGGACTGTACAATTCTTGGTGATTTTGCGTACATAAGCTATCTATGTTTATTTATTTATCTATGGAGATTTCGAACAAACCATCTAAAAAAAAAATCTCAATAATATGACTAAAGTAAGAACAGAGAAGTAAAACAGAGTAATAAGAAATGTTGGCAAAAATTGGCTTAAGGAGTTTGCAAACAACAGAGTAATAATAATCTGAAATAAAATGACATTTTTCATGAGAAAGCTAGAAATTCACTAGATGCTACAGTTAAACCCTAAATAAGCCATACATCGAAAGAATTCATCAAATGTCGTATTCTTCACTTTCTGATAATACATATATATCTAATCTGATAAGAATGGTTTACCCAAAATATAGTCTAAGGGGGGGGGGTCCCAGGCCCCCCTCCATCTATTTCCTTATTATGATAAATCTATAAAATTTGATACACTTGGGCTCTACTTTAATAATCAGCAAAACAATTTGCACATTTGAACAATTTCAAATATTTATTGCAATTTTGTTCAAGGCTTTCCAAAGAGCTATAAAAAGTCAAAACCTGATGACCAAAGTAGGTCTAAATATAGATTTAATCAGGTAAAGGTAAAATAAGGCATTCAGGCAGTAGGTATAATGGCCCCGCTTTGAGCCTAAAGTGAGGGTCATGTAAAAGAAAAGTAAAAAAATTAAACAGACTGTAACCAATGCATTTTGAATTATCTCCAAAAACGTCAGGGGGGAGTCCAAGGAACCCCCCTCCTACCCTCGACCGGAATAGGGTTAAACTCACCACATTTTCGTCGTCCAGTAAGTTTGCCAAGCATTGGAGGATTCAAATTCTCATTCTCAAGCTCACAGTTTTGATAAAGCATACAGTTATAAGTCATTAACTGTCTCAGGGGATTCTAAACATGATTGATTAAATTAATCTAAATTTATGTAAAACATTAAAAACTAAAATTTGTCATTGTAACTTACATAAAATGTTGAATAAGAATATGCTTCATAATCTTTCTGTTTTCTAATCCACAAGTCTTGGCAATCTTGTTCTGCACTCAAAGAAGAAAGTGTTCTGTAAACTGAGTTTCCAGTGCATGTAGGTAATTCCTTGTTTGTCTGAAATAAGCAAGAGTCAATACCAAGAGATCGGACCGATATTTCTAGAGTAAATATCAAGAAATTAGACCGATATTTCTAGAGTAAATATCAAGAAATTAAACCGATATTTCTAGAGTAAATATCAAGAAATTGACCAATATTTCTAAAGTAATAACCAAGAGATTAGAACGACATTTCTAGAATAAATACAAAGAGATCAGACTGACATTTCTAGAGTAAATACCAAGAGATTATACCGATATTTCTAAAATAAATACCAAGAGATTAGACTGAAATTTCTAGAGTAAATACCAAGAAATCAGACCAAAATTTCTAGGGTGAATAGCAAGACATCAGACTGATATTTCTAAAGTAAATACCAAGAGATTAGACTGATATTTCTAGAGTAAATACCAAGAGATTAGACCGATATTTCTAGAGTAAATACCAAGAGATCAGACCAGGGAACAGGAATAAAGGGAAAGGAAATGGCGCTGGTCCGGCAAGAGAAAGCCAGTCGCACTGCTTTGCAGACCAGTACAGTAAACTGACACACACTCTTCTGGTACAGACACACAATATGACTACAGTCAAGGAAATTGTAGAACAATGTCGTCGATTATAATTAAATTTGAATGACGAGTAGTTTATTGTAAACTTTAATAAAATTATATTCTTTGCATGAAAATTTGGCTTTATAGTGTTGACTTAAATATGTAAATAATATATTACATGTATATTAAACATATGTTTAAGTAAACAATTAACAATAAACAAATGTACTCTCCTAGACTGTACAAATCCCGAGATTCTTACGTACTGTATAAACCTACAGTAAAAACCTTTGGTACAGTAAACTGACACACACTCTTTTGGTACAGACACACACACATGACGTTTCCGCCCCCTGGATCAGACCGACATTTCTAGAGTAAATACCAAGAGATTAGACCGATATTTCTGGAGTAAATACCAAGAGATCAGACCGATAATTCTAGAGTAAATACCAAGAGATTAGACCGATATTTTTAGAGTAAATACCAAGAGATTAGACCGATATTTCTAGAGTAAATACCAAGAGATTAGACCGATATTTCTAGAGTAAATACCAAGAGATCAGACCGACATTTCTAATGTAAATACCAAGAGATTAGACCGATATTTCTGGAGTAAATACCAAGAGATCAGACCGATATTTCTAGAGTAAATACCAAGAGATCAGACTAATATTTCTAGAGTAAATACCAGGAAATTAGTCCGATATTTCTAAAGTAAATACCAAGAGATTATACCGATATTTCTAGAGTAAATACCAAGAAATTAGACCAATATTTCTAGAGTAAATACCAAAAGATCAGACCGATATTTCTAAAGTAAATACCAAGAAATTAGACCGATATTTCTAGAGTAAATACCAAGAGATCAGACCTATATTTCTAGAGTAAATACCAAGAGATTAGACCGATATTTCTAGAGTAAATACCAAGAGATCAGACCGACTTTTCTAAAGTAAATACCAAGATATTAGACTGATATTTCTAGAGTAAATACCAGGAAATAAGTCCGATATTTCTAAAGTAAATACCAAGAGATCAGACCGATATTTCTATAGTAAATACCAAGAAATTAGACCTATATTTCTAGATTAAATACTAAGAGATCAGACTGATATTTCTAGAGTAAATTCCAAGAGATCAGACCAATATTTCTAGAGTAAATACCAAGAGATTAGACCGATATTTCTATAGTAAATACCAAGAGATTAGTCTGATATTTCTGGAGTAAATACCAAAAGATTAGACCGATATTTCTAGAGTAAATACCAAGAAATTCGACCGATATTTCTAGAGTAAATACCAAGAAATTAGACCGATATTTCTAGAGTAAATACCAAGAGATCAGACCGATATTTCTATAGTAGATACCAAGAAATTAGTGACCGATATTTCTAGAGTAAATACCAAGAAATTAGACCGATATTTCTAGAGTAAATACCAAGAGATTAGTCTGATATTTCTGGAGTAAATACCAAAAGATCAGACCGATATTTCTATAGTAAATACCAAGAGACTAGTCTGATATTTCTAGAGTAAATACCAATAAATTAGACCAATATTTCTATAGTAAATACCAAGAGATTATACCTATATTTCTAGAGTAAATATCAAAGAGATTGGACCAATATTTCTAGAGTAAATACCAAGAAATTAGACCGATATTTCTAGAGTAAATACCAAAAGATCAGACCGATATTTCTATAGTAAATACCAAGAAATTAGACCGATATTTCTAGAGTAAATACCAAGAGATCAGACCAATATTTTTAGAGTAAATACTAAGAGATCAGACCGATATTTTTTGAGTAAATACCAAGAGATCAGACCAGAGTAAATACCAAGAGATTAGACCGATATTTCTAGAGTAAATACCAAGAAATTAGACCGATATTTCTAGAGTAAATACCAAGAGATCAGACCGATATTTCTAGAGTAAATATCAAGAGATCAGACCGATTTTTCTAAAGTTAATACCAAGATATTAGACCGATATTTCTGGAGTAAATACCAAGAGATCAGACCGATATTTCTAGAGTAAATATCAAGAGATCAGACCGATTTTTCTAGAGTAAATACCAGGAAATTAGTCCGATATTTCTAAAGTAAATACCAATAAATTAGACCGATATTTCTAGAGTAAATACCAAGAGATCAGACCGATATTTCTATAGTAGATACCAAGAAATTAGTCCGATATTTCTAGAGTAAATACCAAGAAATTAGACCGATATTTCTAGAGTAAATACCAAGAGATCAGACCGATATTTCTATAGTAGATACCAAGAAATTAGACCCACGTTTCTAGAGTAAATACCAAGAAATTAGACCGATGTTTCTAGAGTAAATACCAAGAGATTAGACCGATATTTCTATAGTAAATACCAAGAGATTAGTCTGATATTTCTGGAGTAAATACCAAAAGATTAGACCGATATTTCTAGAGTAAATACCAAGAAATTCGACCGATATTTCTAGAGTAAATACCAAGAAATTAGACCGATATTTCTAGAGTAAATACCAAGAGATTAGTCTGATATTTCTGTAAATACCAAGAAATTAGACCGATATTTCTAGAGTAAATACCAAGAAATTAGTCTGATATTTCTAGAGTAAATACCAAGAGATCAGACCGATATGTCTAGAGTAAATACCAAGAAATTAGACCAATATTTCTAGTTTAAATACCGGGAAAAAAGTTTGTAAGATTTATCTTTCAAGGCAAGAATAGGCAAAATTTGTTTACACAATTGCAATTTCTATCGACTGTTTAGCATTTTTTGGAAAGAACATTTAAGTGAAACAAGAAGTAAATTTATCACAGAAAGTCAGTAATGTTCACAACTTCAGGTAGAGTTAACCATAAGTTATATTAATGTCGCAGATAAACCTTCAAGTACCTTTCATTTTAACTTTTAAATGTTCTGTTCCTGTTTGTAAATAGAATTTTCCCTTATTTTACAAAAAAAACCCTATAATTTTTAGTTTAGTCATCATCTATCGAAAAGAATAGGTTAGGCTGAGCAATTAGGGATATTCTTATTTTTCTTAAAAATAAAACAATATGCACAAGCACATGATAAGAGAATATCATAGCATCAATGCATCCTAAAGAATTTGTCCACAACACTGCATACTTAATTTAACTACCTTACATAGCCAGTTAATTAAACTAAGGAAGAAGTGAGGGCTCCCTGTGCCACCCCCCAACCCCTCCCATCTAGTGCATAGGAGATGTCACTATCAGTAGCATTATAATTTAAGAAAAAAAAAATGATTAAAAATATTCTGAATTACCTGGGTGCAAACTATAGTGGGCTCATTTGTGCATATAGAAGGACAGGTAGGAAAGAAGAACGGAGATTCAAGAGTACAACTTCCAGGGGCACATTCAGATGGGATCTTAATTCAGGGGAAGAAAGTTTCAAACCCTGCTTTATGTTCCCAACCTGACACAAGGTGTCAGATTTGATCACAAAAATTATAATCAACGGTTTAGTAACTCTTCCTGTGCCGATAGTAAACATCAATTAAAGAAACTAATTCCAACATATTCATCACAACGAGCCTAGTTACTTATTTTTTGACTGTGTGTGTGTTTTTTACTTTTCGACCTTAATTAAAAAACAAAACAGTTAAAAAAGGTAACTTTGGGCTTAACTTGTCACTCAGGTCTGGGCCAAATCATGGGTTGGAACTTTCTTCCTTTGTAATTGAAATTTGGTTTAAGCACAGTTTCAAAAGGTACAAAAAAAATTAATTTTTTTTAAAGATAAATATTAGCTAAAGAGACAAATTTGTACATCCATTTTTCTAGGGTTTAAAGGGAGTGACTGGCAATGTATGGTGGTTGAACTGAGATTACAGTATTTCAGGAAAAAGGATTCATTTGGGACATATAAAACCTTTTAAAGAGCTATCATTACTGAATTTGAGCGCAAAGTCGACGTTCAAAAGCATTAATTTGGGTGGTTACTGTGAACCTAACCAGGGTTCATACCAATACAATACATGTACATAATCTCAAATGAGTTCATTGCTCCCAGTCGGAGAAATGATGCACATTACAGATGCAATCTAAGAATAAAGCAGAATAAAAAGGGTATTGAACTCCAGGTATTCTGCAGCCTTAAATACATAGCGGTAGGGGAACAAGGGTATTGAAAATCTCCTCTAATCTAGAGATACCACCCGCTGGCCGCGGGGTGCAAGGATTGATGCTGGAGAAAGGAGTAACAGTAAAGAGGGTCAGAGGAATTCAACCCTCTTTCTTATCTTGAGAATGGCATTTATTTTGGCAATCTTTGCCCCAGAGTTCCATAGGGGAATTAGTTAGCACGAAGCATTCGATCAGAAGAGTCGAATGGAAATCTTGGCTTTTTAATACTGAATTCTTTTCAACCCTTAGTGCGTTTTTAAAAATTGGTTTCTTAAAATTATTTAATAATGACGACAATAAATATTATAAAAAAATCTAATGTAAACTTTTTAGATGTTTAGGAACATATTTCTTAAAATAAATGTATCAACAAATCAATGTTAGAATCAATTATTTTGCTTTCATCATTATATTGAATTTCTTATTTTTTATTAATTTGTTCGCAGATTTCTACAAATTCTTCAAATGTCGTCTTTACTTTAAAAATTCCAGAAAATCTGCAAAAAATATTGTGAATAATAAAAGATTTATATAAACTGATAATTGAATAATATTGCTTATTTTCAATGATAAGAGTTAATCTTTATTTTCTCAACCTGTTCTGAAACATTAGATTAGTTTACTATAGAATTTTTGTCTCATTTTTGTGGTCATTGTTAATAATTTAAAAAACCAATTCTCATTGCGTACCCACCCACATTGATGATTTTAAACGTCGACTTAGTAATTATAGATATTTAAAAGAGTTTTATATATGTTTCAAATGAATCATAAAAAATTTCTCTACAATACAGCAATCTAAGTTCAACCACCATACATTGCCGGTCACTTCCTTTAATTAGATCTTTTTATCAAATAATACTTCAAAATTTGAAAGAAGTAACCTCTTTTTGACAATCCTCTACATTTACACTATATATTAAAAAAAATGTTTTAAAATTGGAAAAATAAAGAAGATTGAGCAATCTAAAGCAATCAGTTTTTTAAGTTATATAAAAAAAAAACATACTTGAATTGATACAGGAATACACACAGCTAAGATAATGCCTAAGTTAGAGTTCATGATTAGTACTGAACAATATTTTGGGTCTCATTAATATGAAAGAAGATAGTACATACCTTATCTATGTGGCTGCAAGTCGGATGCAAGTATATTATGCTTTTTATCTATTGAAGCTCTGGCTAAATATCTCAACAAATGATTTAGTTTTAGTTATAATCCTAATAATTGCATCATAAATGTACGTTACAGGTGCATTTAAAAAAAAATTCAAAATAGAGGAAATATTTAACTCAATTATGTACTTTCATGAAGAATTAGTCAGACTATGAACTAGGGATGGATATCGTTCTCGAAAAAGATTTAAGAAACAATTTTTATAATAATCTTGTTTTTTTTAAATATTTGGTTTCAAAGCAAGACAATGTTTAGATATTTGAAAAAAAATAGCTTCTTGAAAGAGTTTTATTTTAGTTTGTAGCCAAAAAGAAGGTATAGATTTTTTAATTGCATATAAATGAAAGTCAGGGGGCTTTACAGACTGGGTGGAAAGCCCCCCCCCCCCTGCCCAACTATGTTTTAAATAAATATTTGTGCACTGTGATAATTAAATAATTTTTGATGCATTTTTAAAGAATTTTTTTTCATTTCTGACAAAAGCAGGATTATCATGGAAATACTAAAATTCACTGATGTTGTTTAAAATGATAAAACTTGAAATACATTGTTTAGTGTGTAGAACACAAGTTTACAGCTGTTGTTATCAGTTTCCCTTCAATTGTCAGCCCTTCCTGTTCATTTAACAAATGTTATATATAATAATATAATATTAGCAAACCATTCATGTTATTAACTATCAATGATTTACCCACGTATAATATGTTTTACTAAAAATTGGCGATGGGGAGACTGCACATGGTGAAGGGATAACAATTATAGGTTTTGATACATGGGTTATTTATATAATGGTTATAGGTTTATGTGTTCCAAATGGTATATAAACCAGTTATTTAATCTATAAGATATCAACTCTGTCTACTTTTATTTTAACTTTGGCTGAGTGATACAAGTTTTCTAACTTATACTGACATAATTTTTCCCAAAGTTTAAACTATGCTTTTGTTGATTTCATATCATTCAATTTTCCTATATATACTTTGATATGGTGGATTTTAAAGATTCAAAAAGTGCATAAACAAGGATATAGTTGTTTTTATTTTAAGCATTCAAGTGTGGAGTCAAGAAGCCGGGAACAAGAATAGTGGGAGGAGTTCCTACTCAGGTAGGGTTCCTACTCAGTTAGGGTTCCTACTTAGGTAGGGTTCCTACTCAGGTTTGGTTCCTACTCAGGTAGGGTTCCTACTCAGCTAGGGTTCCTACTTAGGTAGGGTTCCTGCTCAAGTAGGGTTCCTACTCAGGTAGGATTCCTACTCAGGTAGGGTTCCTTTCCAGGTAGGGTTCCTACTCAGGTAGGGTTCCTACTCAACTAGGGTTCCTACTTAGGTAGGGTTCCTGCTCAAATAGAGTTTCTACTCAGGTAGGGTTCATGCTCAGGTAGGCTTGTTCCTACTCAGGTAGGGTTCCTACTCAGCTAGGGTTCCTACTTAGGTAGGGTTCCTGATCAAGTAGGGTTTCTACTCAGGTAGGATTCCTACTCAGGTAGGGTTCCTACTCAGCTAGGGTTCCTACTTTGGTAGGGTTCCTGCTCAAGTAGGGATCCTACTCAGGTAGGGTTCCTACTCAGGTAGGGTTCCTACTCAGGTAGGGTTCCTACTCAGCTAGGGTTCCTACTTAGGTAGGGTTCCTGATCAAGTAGGGTTCCTACTCAGGTAGGGTTCCTACTCAGTTAGGGTTCCTACTCATGTAGGGTTCCTACTAAGGTAGTGTTCCTCCTCAGGTAGGGTTCCTACTCAGGTAGGGTTCCTACTCAGGTAGGGTTCCTACCCAGGTGGGGTTCCTACTCAGGTAGGGTTCTTACTCAGGTAGGGTTCCTACTCAGGTAGGGTTCCTACTCAGGTAGGGTTNCTACTCAGGTAGGGTTCCTACTCAGGTAGGGTTCCAACTCAGGTAGGGTTCCTAATCAGGCAGGATTCCTACTAAGGTAGGGTTCCTGCTTAGGTAGGGTTCCTACTCAGGCAGGGTTCCTACTTAGGTAGGGTTCCTACTCAGGTAGGGTTCCTACTCTGGTAGGGTTCCTGCTCAGGTAGGGTTCCTACTCAGGTAAGGTTCCTAATCAGGTAGGGTTCCTACTCAGAAAGGGTTTTTACCCAGGTGGGGTTTCTACTTAAGTAGGGTTCCTACTTAGGTAGGGTTCCTACTCAGGTAGGGTTCCTACTCAGGCAGGGTTCCTACTAAGGTAGGATTCCTGCTCAGGTAGGTTTCCTACTCAGGTAGGGTTCCTACTTAGGTAGGGTTCCTGCTCAGGTAGGGTTCCTACTCAGGTAGGGTTCCTACTCCGGTAGGGTTCCTACTCAGGTAGGGTTCCTAATCAGGTAGGGTTCCTACTCAGGTAGGGTTTCTACTCATGTAGGGTTCCTATTCAGAAAGGGTTCTTATCCAGGTGGGGTTTCTACTCAAGTAGGGTTCCTACTCAGGTAGGTTTCCTTCTCAGGTAGGGTTCCTACTTAATTAGGGTTCCTACTTAATTAGGGTTCCTACTTAAGTAGGGTTCCTACTTAAGTCGGGTTCCTACTCAGGTAGGTTACCTTCCTCTGTAGGGTTCCTACTCTTAGGTAGGGTTCCTACTCAGGTAGGGTTCCTACTTCGGCAGGGTTTCTTCTCAGGTAGGGTTCCTACTATCAGGTAAGGTTCCTACTTATATAAGTTTCTTACTTAGGTAGGGTTTCTTTTTTGGCTTAATCAGGTAGGTTTTCTACTCAGGTAGAGCTTCTATTCAGAAAGGTTAAGGTACAAAAGGGTAAAAAGACCTGTCTGTGTTTAAAAAAAAATCTAAATCTCATAACTTTTTATCATTTATTATTATTTGCTATTCCAGCTAGAGATCCAAAAAACGTATTTTTGAAAAGCCTATTGATAAATAGATAGAAGAACACATCCCACTTATCACTCATCTTAATATTTGTCATAAACAAAAAACTTTGTGTTACATTTTTCCTACCTTTTTTTCACTTTTTTTAAAAACCCCCTAAGCACCCAAACTATTAAGTTATAGGTATAATTTTCAATGAGCTGGCCTTGAAAAATTGGATTCTGAACATGTATTGCAACCCTATATTCTATAAAGATAGATTCAGAACCCGTCACCTTTACAGGGGTTAGAATAAAGAAGAAAAGATTGAATTTGTTTTGTTTTAAGGTTAATGAGTACCCATGGATGGTAAGACTTCAGTTAACTATAAATGGTCAGACTGAGCCTCTTGGTTGTGGAGCAACACTTGTAGCACAAGAATGGGCTATCACTGCAACACATTGCATGGGGGTAAGTAACCAAGGGTTTCAAATTATACCTGTGAAGGTTTGGAGGTAGAAGAAGGGGGGTTTAGGGGATGTTGTCCCCCTTTCCTTCTTACTTTTTACCAAGTATTTTAATCCCAATCATATGAATTATTATCTTAAAATGTGTTAATTCCTACAAATATTTAAATAAGGGTCTGAAGGCTTCTGATTTGGCAGCACTTCTTGGAGAAGATGATACTGAAACAACATCTGAAACAACTTTGACGTAAGATATGATTAAAATTATGTACAAAGACAACTGCTTAGAAATTTACACTTTTCAGGAAGTCTTTCCCAGTGTCCAAGATCATAAATCATCCAAACTTTCAAGATGTCTCTAATGATATTACCCTTCTTAAACTCAGCTCAAAGGTAAGTTTAGCAGGCCTAGCTAATCTGGTACAATCTTAGCTTTTCCAATTGCAATTTTTTCACTATGCTCCTATTAAGTAAACTAAGCTTTAAACAAAATTTTCTGATAAAACTGATAAATTTTTAAAAATAATTTTTTTCCTAGTAATTTTTTCAATTTTAATTGTGATTTGCTAAAAATTAAATTGTGCTTGATCAAGTGTTTTGACGTTTATAGGATAGAAAGAGACAAACAAACAGATAAAGTGTTAAATTTCTTAGTTTTACAACTCAAAATCAACAGTTTTTTTGTTCGTCCTTTGATTCAATAACGAATAAAATCTGTAATCTGGAGACACATTTTTTAAGAATAGAATGACTTTTGTACAACTGACGAATGCAATATCCATTCTTTATCTTCTTGCATAATAATGCAAAAAGTTTCAAAACCCTGATAGATTTTATTGTTTCTTTTAGTTATCTTTATTAAGGTTGATCTGAATAAATATACTCCAGTATGTTTGCCAGCTCCTGATACTAGTTGGGTTGGAAAAACTGCTTGGGTTTACGGTTATATATATATATAGATAAAACTAAACATAAAATATGTATCACTATTTAAATTAATTTTTATCACCCTGTTTATTGTCTTCAACAAGTATTTGTTTACGTATCCATATTTCAGAGTCATCAGAACATACCAATTTCAAATCCTTAATTTTCCTATATTTGAAAAAAAAGTATAATACAATGCTATTTTTTCTGATTAGATTAAATTTTAAACCCTACCTTTATAAAATTGGTATTGACAATTTCAAGCTAAGAATATTATTCAACGATGTCAGGTATTTTCACAAATGACAATTTCCCTACTGTGTAATTTCCCAGGTGGCAACTTTCCAAGTCTATTCTAACCGCAACGCTTGGCTCCATAGTGACTCTTAGCTGCAGTGTTCGGCCCCCATTGTAGCCTACGGAGAAGGCATAATATAACCTTTGGGAATTTTTCGCTTGGGAAATTACACATTGGTGAAATTGCCTCTTGGGAAATTGTCATCTCAGAACCTATTTACCTCAGGCTGGGGAGCAACATCATTTGGCGGATTTTCTTCCAACAAACTATTAGAAGTTCCTGTAGTTGTTGTCAATCTTGACACCTGCAGAAGTCCTGGAGGAGTCTATCAAGATGTTAGTATTATCTATTTATAAAAAGTACAGCATTCTCTGGTGTTAGTTTTGTTTGGATGTCTTATCATAACTTTTTTAAGATCTAGATGTTTATTATCTCCGTATCGAGATTATTTTAAAGATACAAAATTGTTTATATTATTTTTACAAAAAACTATTGTACAATAGTGGCATGTTAATACATTTGTATTTTAGTTAAGAAAGTTCTTTAGTTTGCAGATGCATTTTTTCATTTTTTATTTCCAAAATTCATATTAAATTCTGTTTCTAAGGAAAAAAAAACTTTTTCAAGTATTTTGGACCGATCATAACTAATAAGCCCCTGGACCGGCAGCCAGGGAAATGTTCTTCCCTTGGGTTTAAGATTCTAAGTTGAGTGGGTAGACTTTTTAGGGAAAAATATTTAAAGTGTGGGTAAACTGTGTGAGTAACTATGAGTAACCTGGACAATCCTGGGTTCCCAATATTTGCCAGGATATGAATTTGGCTGTTTGCCATGACTTTTTTGCTATTCCTTGTTTAAGCAAATTGAACAATGTCACAATGGACTAGGGTCATTTTTTATTCAAACCAGACCAACCCCTTGTACTGGCCTTAGTGACGTGCTGCAAAACCAACCCAACCCTATCCCTTAAAAGCTTGGTTTCATCTTTGATGGCTCGTCCAGACTTTTACAGTACCTGGCCTATCATAGGCCTTTTTTTATCTACCCCACTAATTTAGATTTGTGTACTGTAGGGTTAAGAAATATGATACATATGTTTATCCCATGGCTGTGTTTTTTGCTGTACAGCTAGCTTAAAAAAACGTTTCAATTTTCTTTCTGCCTGAATCCAGGCAGGAAAAGTAAAGAATTTCCCCAATTTATCCAGTTTTGATGGCTTGCTTTGAAGAATTTCTCTACAACAACTTTGTGTGAATGATTCCTCGTTAATTCTCGAAAAATTTCCCATAATTGGTCCCCAATCTAGAGGTCTTTGGGGATCATATTTTTGAGACTTACTTTCGAGAATTTCCTGGGAATTTCTCCAAAACATTTCTCCGGAAATTCCTGAGAAATTCTCAGGACTTGGTCACTAATTTTACAAATTTTTGTGGAACTTCTAAAGAAATCTTAAGAAATTCCTAAGAATTTGTCAGGAATTTTTCCCCAAGAACTGCTAAAAAAATTTTAACCCTATTCCCGCTGGGGGGGGGGTCAATTTGACCCCCCCCTGTAGTTTTTTTTACATAACTCAAAAAGTATTGGTCTGAGGCTGTTGAAATTTTCTGACTTTTCTTACATACCCAAAGCCCTCCCTTTAGGCCTAAAACCGGGCTTTAATACTAACTGCCTGAGTCCTCAGGCACACTGCCTGAATGACTGCTCTTGCCTGTAGCAAACTAAATCTTTGTTTTGACCCACTTTCACTTGTCAGATTTTGATAAAATTTAGCTTTTTGGAAAGCCTATGACATAAGGAAACGGATTGCACAAGTTTTGCGAAAAAAAAATTGCAAATTTTTTGCAAACAACCTGTGAAAGGAAATTTGCACATTTTTAGTTTTTCTTGATTAAAAATAGGGTTATTTGAAATTTTGCAAAAATTTTTGCATATTTGAAATGGCATGGTCAAGGGCTTTTCAAAAATGTATAATTTGTCATTTTTTGGAAAAAATTTTTTTTGCAAACATTTTTACTATAAAACTGGGTTTTGCGATAAAAATTCAATTTTCGCAAATTTGCAAATTTTTTTGCAGATTCTAAAAGTAGAGCACAAGAGCTTTCTAATGATGTATCATGTGTCATATTTGGACATAAAACATGGGATTTAGAGGGGGGGGTCAAATTGACCCCCCCCCCAGCGTATCCTGGTTTTCAAGTACCCCAGCGGAGATAGGGTTAAGAAATTCCTGAGAATTTGTCAGGAATATTTCTCTGTAAGTTCCTGAGAAATTCTTAGAACTTGGTCACTAATTTTACGGATTTTTTGGGGAACTGAATAATTGAGACATAGTCTCGAGAAATTCCTAATCATTTTTTAGGAATTTGTCCCTAAGAAATTCCTGAGAAATTCTGAGAAATGTTTCTCCGTAAATTCTCAAGAGTTTCTCAGGAATATTTCCCCCAGAAGTTTCATTTTTCCCCAGAAGGTGTTTCTGAGGTTCCTTTTATTATGCACTGCCCTAACTAAATCTTTTTTTCTTTGCAGCCTTATTGATGAAAAATGATAATTAACTTTAGAAATTTTGGAAAAATTAATAATCTTTTTCATTTCTTCTTGACAATTCAGTTGTCTGAAAATACAAAATCCATGACAAGTTGACAACTAAGATCAAATACAACTAAAACATTCTGATTTAAGAAGTTTGTTATACTTCTCAAAAGTTGGATTGGTAATATAGATAGTTATTAAGATGTTCACTACTCATGGGATTTTAAGTCAGGAATATGCTGAGAATATTTCAAGATATTTCTTTGTTTTGTATCAGAAAAAAACACTTGTTCTTAACTTTAAAAAAAAAAACAATAGCTTTTATACGATCGTTTTTATAAACATGTTCACTGATGAATCTGACTTTTATGACAATTAATTTTGATTTATTTTAGGAAGATAAGTTCGCATGAATGTTGTCTTAAATGTTTTTTTATTATCGAGAGAAATAACCCAAATATTTTCTGACCAAAGGGATTTCTTATCTAAGGGTTTTCCAACCAAAAAATGTATTTTGTTAACAGTAGTTAGCAATGAGTTTTAACAGTCTTCAAAAATTGAAAAACTTCATTAACGAATTGACGAACAAAATCTTAAAAAACGACTTATTTGCTTTTTTAATACTAAAACGATCTTTTTCAAATTGATCGTTTTTAAAAGACTGTTATGTTTCTTGTTTTTTTTTCTCTGTTGTGTTTAAAATTCGAATTGATCTTTCTTAAAAAAGTGAAAACTGTATGGTAGAAAACTAATTTGAAGCAAAAAAGTTTGCAAATGCCTGAAAAAGTAATTAATTTAGGTTGAAATTGGTATGGTTTGTGCTGGTGGGGTGAAAGGAGAGGATTCATGTCAGGTTAGAACCAAGATGGTATCACAGGTCTTACACATAGATGGTGAATGCACAACATTGTTTGTGAATGATGGTGGCGTTTTGAAATAAGCGAATAATGGGCAAATGACTAGATCCTTCAGAGAAATAAAAAAAACATTTTTTTAAAAACAAAGAAAAGAACTCAAAAAACTAAAACTTTAAAATTGTTCTTGAACAAACTTAAAAAAAACGATAGTTTATTTACTGAACAAACAAATTTACCAACAGATTTTTAGAAATCAACCAATGATATTTTCGAACAAAAGCAATATTTTTTTTAACTAAACAAACAATTTTATTGAACAAACAATTTTACTTAATTATCGTTTAGTGGGAAAACGAACAAAATATATTGAAAATGAACAATCATTTTGAGAACGAATAATGCATTTTTTGAATGATTGAAAAAAACTTATGAAATTGGTTGTTAACTAACAATGAACGAACGAAATAAAGAAAAGGCAAAAGTGTTTCATCTTTAGTTTTCATCTCAATTAATATAAATTCTTTAGGTCAACATTATCATATAGTATCTACCCAACAAACAAAAACCCGTGAAGAATACAAGATTATTTGGTTTATTTCACACGAGTGACCCGTCATTATCTCGTGATAATTCACTTGTTGTCGAGGTGATTGTCGACGATTTGATCACGGGTCTAGGGCCGAGTTTTTACACAGTGAAAACTTGAGTTTATTTCACGAGATGAATACGGGATTTTTACATGGGAAAATTATTTTTCTCCCATCTACTTTAGTTACATTTTTAAAAACTCCGGGAAAAGGGGGGGGATACATAATTGATTTCTGATATATAAAATATACTGTGTAAAAGTATATAATTATTAATACAAAATGTTTAGAAACTAAACATTTTATTTTATATCTTTTACATTAAACATTTTGAACATGTAAACTTTAAACTTTTCTTATCACAAAGTGATATTTCAAGTCTAAGTAATGTTCAATTATAGAGGACGTGAGTCAGACTCTAATAAAAACGCATAAATAACTTCCAGTATATATATTTCTTATAACTTAAATAAATTCAAATACCAAAGACGACTTTCAAGTCGTCTTCCTATTGTCATGTTTCGTGGGACACCCTGTAGATCCAAATGGGTTCAACTCAGGGAGTAAGGAATAGAATTGGAAGATACAACTGACGTGGCCTGCCCTACCATATGATTATGCATGCTTTGCAGACAGGTACTCCATTTGTATGAGAAATATTCAGAATAGGTTATTATATACTTCTTATTCAAAGTACCCCTCTGCAAAGAATGTATAATCATATGGTAGGGCGAACCACGTTAGTTAATAGTTATATCTCCCTTCTTTTCCTTACTCCTTGGTTACGCTGTTTAGCCAGCTGTAACGAACATATAAATCAGCGAACAACTTTATCATTTAGATTTAGTTTGTAAAGTAATTAAACATTGTTTGTTGTAGTTTTTAGTTTTGCTGTAATTTAAAAATCATATTATTTCTGCCAAATATGAAATTAAGGATTGAAATAAATTTAAATAAGACCAAAAAATTCTTTAAAATAAGTTATAAAACGTCTCAGAGCGATTTTTCTAAAACCATTTATGGGGGGGGGCACACAATTCCACCCCCCCCCCTCTCTAGGATTAATTGAATTTGGCCCTGTTTAGGCCGGGAAATATGGAGTGTATACTGATGTTTCCTTCTACCGTGGTTGGATACAAGAACAGTTTGATGCCAATGGAGGGGCAACATTAGTCCCGTAAACATTATTGTAATTTTAACAAAGAATTGACAAGTTTGTAAGATTAGAAAGATTAAAGCAAATATTTATTTTGTATTTACTCATTGCTAGGGCTGGGCACCTTCCGAATATTTAAAGTCCTTCGTCGACAGTTAACAAAAAATTAAACAAGAAATTCTATAAAGGATGTAAGTTTTATGCAATTTTAAGCAAAGAAATTTTAAAAAGTTCCGTTTTAGGTGAATTTTTAAGTAAATTTTTTTTTAACTGTTATTTGTTTGTTAACAATTTCAGAATTTAGATCTGCAGAAATTAGTTAAGCTTTAAAGGGAGTGTTCGCGAAAAATGAAAGGCGGTATAGGTTTAATGCGATAAAAAAGCACTTTTGATCGCTACTAATCTTACTTCTATCTGCTGTGTCTACAAAGAGAAAATTGTTAAAGACGTCTCATACTGAAAAATATGGCGTCCATACAAATTGAGAAAATTGCAACTTACGACTTAGACCTTAAAAAAATCAATTTAATTTCAAACAAATCATTCAGATATTACAACCTATAGTCATTGATTATCTTTCGCCACATTTGCATATATTTGATATTTCATACTAGTTTTGATTTTGTTTTTTAAAATAATATTTAGCTTACAACTTGTTTTTGAACATTCCTGGAAAATATGAAAATGTTGTCTTCATTACCAAAAATCCTCGAAACAGGAATACATGTTTTTATAAGTAATTCTCAGATCATAACAATTAAAACATATTATGAAAAATCAACTATATATAAATGTGGCGAAAGATAATCGATGGCTATAGGTTGTAATATCTGAATGATTTGTTTGAAATAAATTTTTTTTTTTACGGTCTAAGTCGTATGTTGCAATTTTCTCAATTTGTATGGTCGCTACGTTCTTCGGTATGCGACGTCTTTAACAATTTTCTCCTTATAGACGCAACAGATAGAAGTAAGATTAGTAGCGATCAAAAGCGCTTTTTTATCGCATTAAGCCTATACCCCCTTTCATTTTTCGCAAGCACTCCCTTTAAAAAGTTTAAAAGGTTTTTTTTCGAACAAAAACTAATTTAAAAAAAAATAGAAAATTGAAAATCGTAATTGAAAATTGATGCATCGTTTTTACAGATGTCTGAATCTTTGTGTGTTGGCAACCTGTGATATTTCAAATGTTGACATTATACTATTACATATGAAAGAAAAATGAATCAAGGCAACTACTCATATTATTAATATTCGACGAGTCGGTTTTTCTTACAATTTATTATTATTTACAACATTACTAAACTAAAGGAAAATACTATACGAATAATTATTATGAATTGAAGATGTTTCAGAGTGATGGGGAATCTTCAAGGGAACCTCTAGTCAAGGGAGCTGGTCTTCAACTGATTTTTTTTCCCCAGATTTCGCTCCACCCTGGGCTAGCATTTAACCCTAGTACCCCGTGAGCTGGCCGGCTAGCCCACCAGCCCCCGGGTCTCTGGGATAACGGAACTTTCAGCTTGGCTTTGGTTTCTTCGCGTGGCTTGGGTTATTTATAGAATTCAAACACAAACAGGAATAAATCCGTTAGATTTAAGGAGGGATGGAAAAAGGGGTGGGGGGGAGAAACTGGATATGATGGAAGGAGGGAAAAAGACCCATTTATGATCGCAGGAAAGATCAACACATCACTTTCCTGCTACAATACTTCTAGTCGAATATATACTTCTAGTGGAATATATACTTTTAGTCGAATGTATACTTCTAGTGGAATATATACTTCTAGTGGAATATATACTTCTAGTCAAATATATACTTCTAGTCGAATATATACTTCTAGTCGAATATGTACTTCTAGTCGAATAAATACTTCTAGTCGAATAAATACTTCTAGTCGAATAAATACTCTAGTCGAATAAATACTTCTAGTCGAATATATACTTCTAGTCGAATGTATACTTCCAGTGGAATATATACTTCTAGTCGAATATATACTTCTAGTCGAATATATACTTCTAGTCGAATATATACTTCTAGTCGAATATATACTTCTAGTGGAATATATACTTCTAGTCAAATATGTACTTCTAGTCGAATGCACATGATTTTCAAAAATGTATATTTTATCATTTTTTAGACATTCTTTTGCAAACATTTTTAATATATAACTGGATTTTAAAAAAAATTGTTGCAAATTTGCAATATTTTTTATAATTCTTATATTAGAGCATAAGAGCTTTCTAATGTCATATTTGGACATTAAACATATGATTTAGAGGGGGGGGAGGGTTCAATTTTTCACCTTAAGCGTATTCTGGTTTTCAAGTAGTGATAGGGTTTAATCTTGTTGGGTTAAAGTTATATTATATAACTAAGTCTAAAAGTCGTCTTCCTATTCCAGAGTTGTTATGGTTCCTAATGTACTTACACATATATTTAATTTTTTTTAATCCGCAATCATGATGCTGAAGAATGTCCAACATGAAACACAGTGTCCAGCAATAACCAATCTTAAAAAACAATATAAACATGTTCTAGAATGCTTATTTTAGGACATATATACAGTGAAACCCTTAATACCCGCATAGAACAAGCGACGCTGTTTTAGAGTCTGAAAACGACCCGCACGACCCCAAAAACGGGCGCCGGCCCGACTCTATTTTAGTACTAA